AGTCCAGAGAGAGAGACACTCGTCTTCAGACTGACTGCGGTCGCACAACAACAGGAAGGCGCATTACAGTTTGCAGCTCGACAGTAGCTTAAAGAAATAATTCCCACAATTATCAACTTTATTCAAACGCATATGGCTGTTACTGATCTGCCAGGCACTCTCACCAGCCAATCACAGTGCACTCCCTCACCTGAGTTCTAATCACACACACCTGCACCTCATCATCATCCTCATCACTACCACTACATAAACACACACTTCACCACAGTTCACTGTCCGGTCTCGTTTGTATGAAGAGGACTACTCACCTACTCACGGCTTGCCTTACAACGGCTTGCCTTACAACGACTTACCTTACAACGACTTACCTTACAACGACTTACCTTACAACGACTTACCTTACAACGACTTACTCCCCTTAAAACGACTTGCCTTACAACGACTTACCTTACAATGACTTACTCTTCCTTACAACTACTCACCTTTCAACGACTTGCCTTACAACGACTTACAATGACTTACCTTACAGTTTACCTTACAACGACTTACCTTACGACTTACCTCACAGACTTATCTTACAACTACTCACCTTTCAACGACTTGCCTTTCAACGACTTACCTTACAATGACTTGCCTTATGACTTACCTTAAAACGACTTACTTTACGACTTATAACAACTTGCCTTGTAACGACTTGCCTTACAACGACTTGCCTTAGAACGACTTGCCTCACGACTTACCTTACGACTTACAACGACTTACCTTACAATTTACCTCACAACGACTTACTCACCTTACAACTACTAACCTTTCAACGACTTGCCTTACAAGAACTTGCCTTACAACGACTTGCCTTACAACGACTTACCTTACGACTTACAACAACTTGCCTTACAACAACTTGCCTTACAACGACTTGCCTTACAACGACTTGCCTTACAACGACTTACCTTACAACGACTTACCTTACGACTTACAACAACTTGCCATACAACGACTTGCCTTACAACGACTTGCCTTACAACGACTTACCTTACAACAACTTACCTTACGACTTACAACAACTTGCCATACAACGACTTGCCTTACAACGACTTACCTTACAACGACTTACCTTACGACTTGCAACAACTTGCCTTACAAAAACTTGCCTTACAACGACTTACCTTACAACGACTTACCTTACGACTTACAACAACTTGCCTTACAACGACTTACCTTACCTTACAATGACCCACCGTCCAACTTACCTCACAACTTGCCTTACCTTACAACAACTTAACTTACAACGACTTAACTTACAACGAATTACCTTACCTTACAACAACTTACCTACAACGAAATACCTTCCAACAACTTACCTACAACGACTTGTCTTACAACGACTTGCCTTAAGAATTACCTTACCTTACAACGATTAACCTTACGATTTACCTTACAACAACTTACCTTACAACGACTTGCCTTACAACTACTTACCTTACACGACTCACTTTACAACGACTTAGCTTACAATGACTCACTTTACAACGACTTACCTTACAACAACTTTCCTGACTTCTCCAGCCTCCACTCCAGTGTCATTTCCCAGCGTCTTGTCTCCATTCTCCTTCGTGTGATTCCCTCAGTGTCTCCAAATTCTCCAGCGATCCTGCATTCCGTCCTTCCATGCCTTCATCTATCCATCCACATTCCTGTAAGAAGATACATTCCCTTTACTGCCAGGACCTCACTCTCCAACTCATCATTGCACTTCACACTCACCGGCATCCAGTTCACCTGCTCAGAAAAACAAAAACAATTATTGATTGGCTAGTCTCTGTCTTGTGATTATGATTCCATAACAATGACTTTTTTGGGTAATACTACAGTGTCTTTATTCCACATGTAGGCTTGTTATGATAGTAATAACTAACTGTCACTGTCATTTGATTGATGGTGGATCTGGTGAAGAAGCTGTCAGTAATAAAAATATTGATTGTGAAGATGTTGAAAATGTTAGTTTTGAGAAAATTTTGAGATTGCGAATATCAAATTAAACCCTGAAGAAAATATGCTTTATTTTATTCTTCAGTAATTGTTACTCTAATATCAGGAGAGTTTTATATTATTGCGACAGATAGAGATCCATCTGTGTCCATCCAATTCATTCGGAATAACTAAAATCAGTGCATGTAAACTACCTAGGAACTTTTCGTGGGCCTCGTATCCTAATCAGTATTCCAAAAGCTGCAGGCAAAAGGGCCCTTAGCAGAAGTAAGGAATCGCTTCCTTTCTTTTAAAGCAAGAAAAAAGTGACCTCATTACGAGAAAATACGTCTTAAATGTTTGCACATGTGGAGGCTGATGCTATTTGCAGTCACCAAGCAGCAGCAGGCCAAGCCTTTGGGGACATTTCTCCCCCCTATTTTCTTGCCTGATAATCGTACATATGCTTTTTCAGAAACATCCTGAGTGAAACAGCTTAATGTCCTGTATGGCTTTCACATGTTTGGGCTGCTCAAAGACTTCTGGGTCCAGATGCAAGCACTGCAGTCACGTCTGGCTTGAAGCACATTAGGAGCTGGGGGGGGAAGCGTCACAATTTTGATTGATTACAGCTTACCGAGGGCCAATGACCGATTCATATGGGTGAACTGACGGATAAAGGCCCGTTCCCAGCAATACAAATGGAGGTCAGCAGAATACACAGGAGGTCAAAGTCTAATTCCTGCAACAGACTGTGCGATTTCGGCAATACTATAATAATAAGATCATTACAAATCGCACTTTACGACATGGATATAATAAACTTGTGTCCAACGATGATGACACCTACTCAATCGTAGGCTATGAGGCAAGATGATAATAAATCGTCATCAGCATGCACTGGTGGTAAACAAATAAAGCAAGACCAATTGTACTTTGGCAATTGTGGTTTTAGTGTGGGCCGAAAGAAAGGATGAAAGTGAAAGAGGAGAATATGGACACGGTCATGGCTATAGGAAAAGAGGCCAACTTGGCATGCCAACTTTGCAAGTTGTGCTTAAGGGAAGTAGTTTTAACGCCATTTCATGTTGCATTTTCGTAGCAAATTATCGCAGGCTATATTTCGTCGTAAGACCGTCACAACCTCTCTTATTGTACGACGTATGACCCATGAAATCAACAGAAATCAATCACCACAGAAATCAATCGCCACGATTGGTCATCTTTTGTCTGGGACAGCCCAAAATCGTACAATGTGTACCAAGCAATCCTACCAAATTCTTATCAAATTTGAATTTTTAAGCGAATTCATCCTTGACAGGGAGTTTGACTGGCAGCCGATCTGACCAATCAGGACCCGCCATTTTGTCTGACAAAGCAGTCAGGAGTATTATTAGATTAAAGGAGTATTTCACTTTTAAAAAAAACTTTTGCTGATAATTTACTCACCCCCATGTCATCCAAGATGTCCACGTCTTTCTTTCTTCAGTCGAAAAGAAATTAAGGTTTTTGATGAAAACATTCCAGCATTTTTCTCCATATAATGGACTTCAATGGGAACCAAACGGTTCAAGGTCCAAAAGACTGTTCCAGTGCAAACTGCAAACTGTTCAAAGGGCTTTAAACAATTCCAGACGATGAATAAGGGTCTTATCAAGCGAAACGATCGCTCATTTAAAAAAAAAAAAAGTTTAAGTTTTATAAGCTCAAATGGTCGCCTTGCTCTGTACTGTGTTCGTGACTCTCCCTTTCAAACCCGTTCATCAAAATGAACAAATCTTTTCCTGAGTCAACTCATTCATTTCGTTCATTGAATGAACCAAATAGTCTGCAGTTTGCACTGAAACTGTCTTTTGGACCTTGAACCGTTTGGTTCCCATTGAAGTCCATTATATGGAGAAAAATCCTGGAATGTTTTCATCAAAAATCTTAATTTCTTTTCGACTGAAGAAAGAATGACATGGCAGACTGATCTCATGAAGTAGCGTGTGTATGACAAGGCAATTCGTATTTCCATTATTGGCGTGCTATCAACACGCATAATCGCTTTTCAGCGTGTTTAGCTCCCCAGATGTAGATGTACATTTTGCTTCGTTTCGCTCGGACATTTGACGGCGTGTACAGACACGCGGACGTTAATGGCGTAGACATACACGCATACACGCGGATAGCTCAAAATGCGTGTATGTTTACGCAAAAGTCATGATGTCATTTTGTACATGGATATCTTGGATGACATGGGGGTGAGTAAATTATCATCAAACGTTTTTTTTTAAAAGTGAACTACTCCTTTAACGTCGAACTTGAACTTGAAAAGCGGTGTGTACTGATGTCTTTACGCGGTTGAAACAACATTCCTTCTAATGTTCATTCGTGTTTATTTGATGCTAAAATTAACTAGAAGGAAGATAAGATCAGTTTGCGAGCAGCTTTAACTGAGGCGCTACAGCGATCTGTCACGTCACATTAAACAGCCACAAAACGGTGAAGGACCAAATTTTCAAAGTTGAGACTCAATTTCATATTAAAAGTAATCTGGTCTGTCCTGTCCGTCAGCACGTTGTCAGTGTCCTCTTTGCTCCGCTCTGTATTTTTCACTGCTTGAGAACATGTGGCGTGAGAGAGGCATGGCTTTGTCAGACATAGCAACAGTAACTAAAGGGGGCGGGTCTTTGCGCATGGTCAATTCCTTGGGCAAACAGCACAAATGTACGCCGATCACTGGTTTCTTTTAATTTTTATTGGGACCTATGACAAACATGTAGAACTGACATCGGCCAGGACGCCATGTAGTTCTGATATGATCAACTGGTATTTACAAAGTACTTTCTTTTTTTCCACCTTTTCCTAAAAGCAGGAGCTACATTGATCATACATGTTAGAAACGATTAAAAAAAATAGAAATAAAAATGTACATCATACACTTGATATAGATTTTTTTTTTGCTTTTTACAGAGGTAAAAATGGGGATTGTAAAAAACAAAACTAATCAATACAATAGGTTTTATTTCATTTTCTTTTCTCTTTTTTTGTTTAGTATACAAGGAGATCGATTAACATGATGCTTCAGGCACTTTTTGACAGGTAAATGTGTGTAGTAGCAAGACGTTGCACCAGGACAGACGTTCATACAGAATGCTTTTGGTTAACGTTCCATTACCACAGATAGAAAAATAAAACGCAGCTCTTCTCTAAGCTTGGATGACATCGGTATTGCAGAAGCTGACATATTGAGATACAGAAAGGACACGTGGTGAATGAAGGACACAGTGACAGCTGACACCTCTCTGCGGAGGTTAGCGTGAGGACTCCAGTGAACCGACAGGGGGCTTCTCCTCGTTCCCCCGAAAGTTAGACCAAACCACACAGCACGACCCCCACTCTTAAAAATAAAGCCTTTTACAACCCCAACCTTCTTTTAGGAAAGGGTTACAAGTTTGTGACCACATTGCTTGTTTAGTTTTCATTTAAACCTGGAAATACTTTCCACTTATTCTTAATTTGATTTGTAATGAAATGTATTATTCTTGAAAAATGCTAAATTGAACCATTTTAGCTTTTGGACCCCATTGTATGCACCGTAAGAACACACAACTGCTTCATTTTAACCACAGGACACAAAGACTATGTTCGGAATGGATACTAGCATACTACAACTTGCTGTATACAATGTCATTTTTAAAAAGTAGTGAGTGAAACAGCAAGCATTACTCCACAATTTGACACATGATTGCATCAGGTTTTAGTCAGCAAATAATACATTTAAATGTAATTGAATTTTGTGTAAAAATAGCCTATATTTACTTTTGACAATCCAATCAGAACAACAAAAATGGTGGCTGATTTTCTAGGCCCGTTCACACCAAGGACAATTACTAACGTTTTAATAATCGTTCTAAACTATATGAGAATTGAGAGCTGTTGGGTTCTGAAAGTATAAAACTGCATTCATTTTCTCCATAGGGAAATTGGTTTTGAACTGTAACTTATAAGAAAGACCTCCTGTGAGCTACGAGGTTGTTAATCGATGCTATCAGCTAAAGCCGTTAGCCTGCATTATTTTAACTTTCTTTTAATACTACAACCCTGTACTATGGAAGCTTGTTTCCGCCATAGAATGAAAAATATAAAAAGGTAATTGCGACTTCTTATCACACAATTCTGACTTTTTTCTCACATTTGCGAGATGTAAAGTCAGAATTGCGAGATATAGTCAGAATTGCGAGATATGAACTAAGTCGCAATTGCGTGTTATAAAGTCCGAATTGCGAGTAATAATGTCCGAATTGCGAGATATAAAGTCGCAATTGCGTGTTATAAAGTCAGAAATTCATGATATAAAGTCAGAGATGAGAGTGAGATTTAAACTATTCTATTTTTCCCCCTTAGAATTGGCCTGATAACTTGCAATTGCGAATTTATTTCTCACAATTCTGAGAAATGATGTCACGATTTCGACATATACACTCGCAATTATGTGTTATAAAGTCAAAATTGGGAGATGTAAACTCGCAATTGTGAGATAAAAAGTCGCACTTCTGTCTTTTTTTCTCAGACTTGCGACTTTATATCACGTAGTCCTGACTATATCAAACAATTCTGAATTTATATCTCGCAATTCTGAATTTATATCACACAATTCTGAATTTATATCTCGCAATTCTGAATTTATATCATGCAATTCTGAATTTATATCTCGCAATTCTGACTTTATATCTCGCAAATCTGACTTATATTATTCGCAATTCTGAATTTATATCAACCATTCTGATTTATATCTCACAATTCTGAATTTATATCTTGCAATTCTGAATTTATATCTCGCAATTCTGATTTATATCACCAATTCTGAATTTATATCTCACAATTTCTGACTTTATATCTCGCAATTCTGAATTTAGATCACCCAATTCTGAATTTATATCTCACTCTGAATTTATATCACCCAATTCTGAATTTATATCTCACAATTCTGAATTTATATCACACAATTCTGAATTTATATCACCCAATTCTGAATTTATATCTCACAATTCTGAATTTATATCTCACAATTCTGAATTTATATCTCACAATTCTGAATTTATATCTCGCAATTCTGAATTCATATCTCGGAATTCTGAATTTATATCTCACAATTCTGAATTTATATCTTGCAATTCTGAATTCATATCTCGCAATTCTGAATTTATATCACCCAATTCTGAATTTATATCTCACAATTCTGAATTTATATCTTGCAATTCTGAATTCATATCTCGCAATTCTGAATTTATATCACCCAATCTGAATTATATCTCACAATTCTGAATTTATATCTTGCAATTCTGAATTTATATCTCGCAATTCTGACTTTATATCTCGCAATTCTGAATTTATATCTCGCAATTCTGAATTTATATCACCAATTCTGAATTTATATCTCGCAATTCTGAATTCATATCTCGCAATTCTGAATTTATATCACCCAATTCTGAATTTATATCTCACAATTCTGAATTTATATCTTGCAATTCTGAATTATATCTCGCAATTCTGAATTTATATCTTGCAATTCTGAATTTATATCTCGCAATTCTGACTTTATATCACCCAATTCTGAATTTATATCTCACAATTCTGAATCATATCTCGCAATTCTGAATTTATATCTTGCAATTCTGAATTTATATCTCGCAATTCTGAATTCATATCTCGCAATTCTGAATTTATATCACCCAATTCTGAATTTATATCTCACAATTCTGAATTTATGTCTTGCAATTCTGAATTTATATCTCGCAATTCTGACTTTATATCTCGCAATTCTGAATTTATATCTTGCAATTCTGAATTTATATCTCGCAATTCTGACTTTATATCTCGCAATTCTGAATTTATATCTCACAATTCTGACTTTATATCTCGCAATTCTGAATTTATATTACCCAATTCTGAATTTATATCTCACAATTCTGACTTTATATCTCGCAATTCTGACTTTATATCACGCAATTCTGAATTTATATCACCATTTCTGACTTTATATCTCACAATTCTGAATTTATATCTCGCAATTCTGACTTTATATCACGCGATTCTGAATTTATATCTCACAATTCTGACTTTATATCTCGCAATTCTGACTTTATATCTCGCAATTCTGACTTTATATCACGCAATTCTGACTTTATATCACGCGATTCTGAATTTATATCACGCAATTCTGAATTTATATGACCCAATTCTGACTTTATATCTCACAATTCTGAATTTATATCTCGCAATTCTGACTTTATATCACGCGATTCTGAATTTATATCTCGCAATTCTGAATTTATATCACCCAATTCTGAATTTATATCTCGCAATTCTGACTTTATATCTTGAAATTCTGCTTAATATCTTGCAATTCTGACTTTATAACAACTGTGAGATAAAAAGTCGCAATTCTTTTTTTTATTTTTTTTATTCAGTGGCGGAAAACAAGCTTCCATACTGTACTGCTGGTTCTGTATCTCCTCTACTTTAGTGAGTGACGCCAACATCAACACTTCAATGCGAACACAGAGGAACAACATTATGCCAGCCAATCAGAATACACCCAAACTGGAAGTAAATTGACGTGTGGACACTAATATAGATTTTATATTAAAGTCATCGTTCTTGCTGTGAACAGGTCTTATATTCCCAATTCATCCATCACAGTGAAAATGGAAGGTCATATCAACCACATTGCATTATGGGATATAGTAGTCTGTGCAGATGTATACTACACATTCTGGGAAATGTATTCACAGCATACAAAATAAAAAGTACTGCAGCAATAGTAATATAGTTTGCTATTCCGAACCCATCTTTGAGCAAATGATGTGACATCAAGAACTTCTTTGAACCTTTATAACGAAAAATAAATTGGTTCTCGTTGAGAAGAGGTTCTGCAACGAACCATTAAAAAACCTTTATTTTTAAGAGCACATTGTCATTTGAGAACACACCACCATTGAGAACATGGTTTTGAGGCTAAACGTTTATATAACATGACGCATTTGATGCACATATACTGTACATTCTCTGACTGCTCACACACACTATGAGAGCAATGCTCTGTCAGTCAATGATTTATTCAGACAAAGCATAAACGGGAAGGTGACTGGTTAACCACACGGTCCTTCACAGAGGAGATGAGACGGACTCGACACACACGAGCCGCCTCACGGATTGTACCATGCCATTTGACTCCCGCAATAACCGGAGCACAACAGAAAGGCCTATCTATTGGGGAGTTATTTCATTTTTATTTATTTTTTTTGTTAATATAATAGAAAAATATCTATTCACTATTTTTTTCTTCTGTGAGGAACTGAATTGATTCCATGTCCTCTCAAAAGTTCTTTGAGACAAAATTAAGGCGTTAAGTTATTGTCATGAAGAAACTGGAGAACGGTTTGGCAAATGTCCCTCTATAAAGCACCCTAAAAATCAAGCTTATATTTCTGTTTCCTTTTGTTTTTCTGGAAACATCATAGAGACAAATTATGAATCATCTTTCCGTAAGGGAAAAAATATAGCGGTTTAGTGTTTTCCCTCCGTAGAATATCTCAAATCAAATAGGCAGCAAAAATCATTTTATTAATGGATATTTTTATCTTGTATTCCAGTAAAATATCAAAACGGTCCTAAAACGAAAAAATGACATGAGAAGCAAAATTGCATAAAGGCCTGGGTAAACTTCATTTTGCGTGTTTCGCTCCTTCTTCAGAGTATACTCCTTTGGCCACGAGCGCGGAAAGATCTAGTGGACTTTGTTTTCAAGCGCTCAAGTCACTGAAACGTGTGTGTTGTACGTGCAAACAGGAACGGCCCAATTATAGAGGGTATGTGCGTGACGTCACCGTCGGCCGAGTGCCTGCAGTTACTCACAGTGAGTGGCAAAAAGACTGAGCGGCTGTATTTGTTTTCAGCGCCAAAAACAAACACAACACATATAAAGTGGGAAAGAGCTTTGCGATTGACTGTACAACTACATTTGACAACAAATAAGAGGTATATTTTTACAGACTGCTATAGAAAGAGGAGCAAATGAACACTGCAATTCAGAAACAACTGGACTCCAGTCAGTGAAAGGTGGATTTGCAGTTATCATTTTGTGTCAATATGCTGAATTTAAGTGTAAAACCATACCCATATATTTTGTATTGTTATATTTATTAACAACTCATCAATTACATATCATTGCATATTATTGGATGTTTTTTAATAAACACTGACCAAAAAAAAAAAATTTGGTCGGATTATATAGGTAGGATTTAGATCTACCTATATTGTATTTATATAAAGCATTCACAGGCAAATTTGCTTTATGTTTAGGTCTATATTGCTTTTATTTCCCCGGTGTCGAAATCAGACAAACATAAATGTCAGGCAACACGATTCCTGGCTGCATGTCAATATCCATGGATCACTGGATCTTTAGTAAGTCGTAAGGAACACTATATTGAGTCCAACATTTAGTTTAAATTGATAAAATTGTTCGTTTTAGTCGCATTTTTGCAGTTATTAAATCCAGTCACGCAGTAGATCTTTCGCCACTCAGTCAGGCTGAGGGGGGGGGGGTTGTTCCGGCGGGAAAGTGACGTCAATGCATTCCCTCTATACTTTGGGCTAATTTCGTATTGACCATTGCTCCATTACCTTTCTTATCCCATTGTCAACGTTTTTTGATCTTGTTTTAAGAATAAATAAAAAAAAAAACCTGAGGTTTATTTTTAAAATCAATAGAAAATCATAATAAATAGATAAAAAAAAAAAAATAAAATTCAGATTTATTCTCCAAAAAAAGCCTTTTCACAATTTTGCTTCTCAAGTAAATCAAGCCATTTGTTGTGAGGATATTTAGATTGTTTTCCAAGACAAACTTTTTTATTAAACAAATGATTTTTTGCCATTTAAGTGGCATGGGCTCGCTAGAATCAAAAAAATGATATGTTGGCTTTAATGAACTTTTTTATGTTAACACAGTGTTGTAGTCGAGACCACCTCACTCGAGTCCGAGTCTAGACCGAGACCAGAGAGAGTCGAGTCCGAGTCGAGTCCGAGACCAGAGACGGTCGAGTCCAAGTCGAGACCGAGACCAGTGAGGGTTGATTACCTAATTTACTTTTATTTACTTAGAGAAATACTTTTTTTTTTTTTTTTTACTGAATTTACTAAGAGTTTAAGAAATATGATCAGTTTAGGGTAAAAAGGCCACATAGTAGGTGGTGTTAAAAGCAATTTTATTACAATTTGTCA